AATAAGTTTATTCTCGTGCTCAGACGCACGCCTTATAATTCTGTGTAATATTATTCCTCATACACCTCGGCCAATTCATTGGAGACAAACGCGCCGCGAGTATCGTTACGGTCAGCTAGCGATGTCAGTTCAATAGCTCCGTGGCGGTGCGTATACATTTGGTAGCAGAGCGTGGTTGGTACCTTTAGGGATTCCCAGCGTAGCGGCGTGCTAAAATAGTATTTGGATTAGTAGTGTTATTGCATACGTTCAATTACCGTGAGTTCGTCATCACGTGACCAAGTAATTTGCTGTCTCCTTCGTTGTTAAACGTATTTGGTCTTAACTGTTTGCCATGGTTGAAACTAAGAAAGAGCTTGAAGAGCGCCGAACGATTGCGAAGCTCAAACGTGAGTCCGCGATCGACGGTATAAAGGCTGTACATGCCATGACAGCTCGCGTGGGTACAGAGCCAGACTTCATTCCCGAGTTTATATTAAACGTTGATAGTCTCGATGTTTTGTGGTCCCAATTCAAGGTCGATGACAATGCACTTCTAGAATGTCTCGTTAAATTGAATAGAGCGTCAGAGTACTCGGTAGGACAAGCTGGTGAAATAAGTGCTCTAATTAACTCCGCAAGAGCCGTCGCCAATTTACATCGCCCAACTCGTTCCATCTCCGTGGTGGACAATAATGCCGGTAATACGTCAAGAATATCTGACGCATCGCAGTGTCTAACTTTCTCGCGACTCCCTGAGATCCCTCTACCGAAGTTTGGAGGTGATTTCCACCTGTGGCCGACATTTCGCGATAGGTTCACAGCGTTGGTCGATGTCCGCCCGGGTCTCTCAAATATCGACAAGCTACATTATTTGACTGGTTGCTTGCGCGGTGCTGCTTTGGACGCTATTCGTGGCATACCCGCGTCTGACGACAACTACAAGCTTGTGTGGTCAACGCTGACATCTCGGTTTTACCGACCTCGTATGGTCGCCACGTCCTTGATCGAAAGATTGCTAAATGCGCCGTCGTCATCCCAGGAATCGCTGCACGATCTCACCACCCTGTTGACAACATTCGAGGAAAATATTCCGTTACTGTTTGCGCTGGATATTCCCGATTTCGGATCGTTCGTTTTGTTTTCCTTAGCATTTCGTACGTTACCGCTAAGTGTTCGGAAGATGTTTGAATCCACCATGTCCAACAACGTTACTTACCCTTCCGTCGATAAATTGTTAGACTTCATCCGTGGTCGTATAACCGTGCTGGAAAACGTCAGTGAATCGAAGAAAACCAGTAATAATCCGAGGGCGTACACTACCACGGGATCGGCTCCAAACCTTCGGTCGGGACAACGCAATTCTGTGGTTTTAGTCGCTGCAAAGCCACCAATCCAAGGCTCTAGCGATTCAATCGTATCGTGTCCTTGTTGTTCTAATTCGCACGCCATTAGCAAGTGCTCAAAATTTCGATCATGGTCCTTGGACGACCGGAATGAGTGGGCCCATGACAATAAGTTGTGTTTTAACTGCCTAGGAGGTAACCATTGGATTCGCGCTTGTCCATCGAAGTCGAGATGTCAGACATGTTCCAAAAAGCACCATACGCTTTTACATGGTGCCACTTCTACGCGGAGGGAAAACGGGGTTGAAGATAGCGAAGACGCCGGGGAAGCGTCCTGTTGCGCAGCATCATTATCGACGCACCCGAGTGCGATACCGACCGTGTTGTTAGGTACCGCGTTAATTCACACCCGTGATAGGGCGGGTACGTGGCAAACTGTCCGCGCTTTGGTGGATTCCGCGTCGAAAATCAGTGCTATGACGGTCGCGTGTTCAACTCGTCTTGGGTTCAGGCCCCGTCCATGGACTATGCCCGTAAGTGGTATATCCGGCACGCCCATTGTTAGCGTCCAAGGTGTTGTTGAGTGTCATGTACGACCACGATTCGCGTCCGAGCCCGAGCTCACTGTCCGGACGTGGGTGTTGCCTTCCATCACAAGCGACATGCCACGCACCTCACTCCCTACGGATATAAAAGACCGATTTTCCAGTCTGGCATTAGCGGACCCTCAATTCGACGTAACTCAGCCGGTTGATATGTTACTTGGTGCGGACGTATTTTCCGCTATTTTGGACGGGCGGAAAGTCAAAATCGACGAATCGTTACCTACGGCATTTAGCTCGATATTCGGATGGGTCCTATCGGGCCACTCCCGGCGATGCTTACTTGTCACCTCACCACACCAGTGTCTCTAGCGACCTCCATTGAAGATATGATGGGCAAATTTTGGTGGTAAAGCACGATTGAGCATAAAACGATTAAGCATAGACCTTTTTAGCAACACGATTGAGCATAGAATATTTTATGTGATGTTGCCATATTCACAA